CCGCTGGATCGACACTTGGACACAGGAAAGGATTTCGCGATTTCAAGGTGAGTTAATATCTTTCACTCTTATTTTGAATATATAAATGTATAAAATATATTTCAAAATATAATATCGCGTATATCAAAGTTCCCGTACAATATTACGGTTATGAAATAAAACTGCCTTCTTTATTAGCAACGACGCGAATCTCTCAACGCACGAGATTTGTTGTATTCGCGACTATCTTCTTTAAACACAAACAAAAAACCCGTGAAGACGTTTTTTCTTAGCGCTTCCTAACCGGGAAAAAAGGCCCCGTATCGTGCCCTGCACGGCCTTTTATACCTCTTCCCATTCTTCTTACTCCCGCTCTCCGGCTTCCCTCTCTTCCGGAGAACGCCTCCTTGATGCGCGCGCACGCTGTGCTATATTTCGCGTATAGCTATACTCTATGTGTAGCTACGTGCTACACATCGGGTGTAAAAACCGAAAAAATCGCTCGGATCGTTTTTTCCTTAAAACTATGCTTAAATCTATACTATGTGTCTAATAAATATAATATTTACATTTTACTATACTACATGCTAAATAAAAAAAAGGTGCAGAAGTACCGCACTTCGAGTGTAGCAACTTTTCACTATACTTTAGTACTGTTTTACATCACAATTTGTTGTGCTGCATAAAAATAAAACTGTTTTCTAAAATGTTTGTAGAAAATTAATAGAACTTAAAACTACTTAAAACTAATCAGTCTTATTTACAGTTTTACGAAAGTCTCTATTTCTTCGCTGATCTTCTCGTCACTTTTCTTCTTCGAACCGGCTGCCAATCGCTGTCCGAGTCCGAATCTCGGAACTCCGGACGAATATTTGTCACTTTTCCTTTAGATATCGTCAGGATCGGTGACCCTGCTTCCTGGCCCGTCTTCGAGGATGAGGGTTTATTTTCCGGCCTCAAGGTTTAAGTTATCCGAAGAGTTGGCTAGGCTGTTGCCGCAGAAAGACGTGGCTTAACGTGCTCTATGTTGTTGCATCGTTCATTGTGTCTAAAGACGTTTCCCGGTGCCTATTTAGTGTTTAAAATACTCGGGGAGTGATCTGGACTTGTTTGAGACATTAATTATTGAAGTGCTGGTGTTTCTCGATGAACTGTTAATAAAAGATTATTCGGAGAATATGTGGCACGTAATGGCGGCCATACGAGCCTTTGCAACTCTCCCTGTGACGTGGAATTCATGTAACGGTGAACGTGTGAATAACGTGACTAATGTGACTGGATTGACTTTAAATGATGAATATTGCTTGAGTGTAACGCTGTTACAATGATTTATTAATTTAGTAACGCAGTAACGGACAATACCTACGGACTTAATTTGGAAGAAAGCATGTAATCTGTGACGTCACTGCTGACAAGTAGCGACCGGAGCAATGTGCTCCGATCTTTGGTTGACGACCTGAGCCTTCGTGGTGTTCTGAGAACGGACGGAAAACTCCGGGGTTTGGACTTGGCATATTTTGAGCAATGGATATTGAGGTGTTTGCATGGAACTTGTGACGTCATCGCTGTCTGTATTTATGCTGCCTTCCTTTTGGAGTGTCGTTGTCATTGCTGGTAGCTAAAGAAAGCGGTGACACATCTGATATAAGTAGAGATATCTGCAGTTTGAATGATCTACCGTGAAAGGAAGATAGACACGAAGCGGATAGCCGCCCACGGTTGGACAGCGATTCGGGATATCTGGTAAATTCCACTGGATCTGGGGTTTTTCCCTAGAGCCAGGAAAGTGTCAGAATTGTCTTGCATTTTACCCGGGGTGTCCTTAAGAGCATAGGAGGCTAAAATCAGTCTCAAGATGACTGATCGCTCGCTGGCCACTGTTCTGTGGTCTTGATGGTTTAGTGATTTTGGGAATATTATATATATATCATATATATATATATATATATATATATATATATATATTTTGGATGGATTTCGATATTTAATCGCACGTAATGGAACTGCTTAGATAATTTTGTATACTGAGAACACCTACTGTCGGACGGTTTTTTTTATGTTTCGATGTTTCGGCGTTGATGCATTCCAATATACAAATAAAACATTATATCTATAGCAATACAATCCGGAGCCTTTACGACATGAATTGTACTCTGAATACTAGCAGTAGGGCATATTTCGTAAATAAAACAGTAATTATAGGTGAACCAAGGCGTGGGTCATTTCTCTGGATCTAGAGTATTTTCCCTAGAACCATGAAACCTGTGTTCCGATTCCCCACCCGGGTGCACCCAGACAGCGTTCAGACTCCTCCCAAGTGCTCTCGCCGGACTCTCAAGTGAGACGTTCAAATTGTCACTCTATTCACCCGGGAGAGCGTAAAAACCACTCGGCTCACGGAGCCGGGTGGTTTGTGAATGAAGATGAGTGGCAATAAGTGCGGGCAATATTGAAAAATCTAGTAATATTGTAAGTCAGAATCGGACATCAGATGCATTGAAAATTGTGTATAATCTCATGTCTAATACCGGCTTTATGTATGTTATAAACCATGATGTAATAATAGCCGTGTTTCGATATTTACTGTCAGTATTGAAAATTTATAGTGTATATGACATACACTATAGATTTTCGGTACTGGCAGCGAATATCAGAACACGGCCAATATATATTATTACATCATGCTTTAAACTGCATTTGGGCAACAGGTTTTTACAGGTATTTACAAAGATTTACAGGCTTATGCCAAAAGAAAAAAAAAGAAGAAATTTATACGTTGTTAATACTAATATTGACGCTTTGATTGTTAATAAAATTGCGAAGTCGAATAGTGATAGTGTGAAAACGTTTATAGCTACAACGCACAATAATTTTCTTTCTTTGCCCGCTTTCCTTTCTTCACTCAACCATTGATTAATTTCTAACTAGATAGGGCGATCACGCATTACCAAGATGCCAACGGCCCGCTTTCCTTTCATAACTCAACCATTGATTAATTTCTAACTAGATAGGGCGATCACGCATTACCAAGATGCCAACGCCGTTTGGAGACTTCAGATTTCTACGGAGTGCGTTCTGATTCCATTATCCTCTCAGACACTTTTCGTTAAACTCCGCCCATCACCCGCTCACCTGACTATCACCCATCGGATGAAGAATCGGAACACAGCCAAACATGCGTGAATGGCCTGTTGGAAGATGCTCTAGGGAGCACAAGCGGCTAAATTTAGCCCCGCTAAGAGAATTAGGACGGCTGAACGATTGTATAGACGACTCATCGTCTCTTGATTAACCGAAATTACCGGTACTAATTGAGAGTGCCATTCTAACACGAACTAAATAAGGCTATTACGACGCTTTTTGCATGAATTATAAGTAGATAGACGCGGAGCGGGAATCCGCCCGCAATTAATTAACAATTTTCGGAAAATCTAGTGAATTAACTAAATCTGGGGTTTTTCCCTGGAACCAGGAAATGTGTTGGAATGGCCTTTCAATTGTGCCGAGGAGCGTTCTTAAGAGCATAAAAAGCTAAAATCAGTTTCGCTAGGGATACCGACGACTGATTGTTTGTTGGCTACCGTTTGGCAATTTTAATGGTCTAGTAATAATTTTTGAGAATACTGCCATGGGTGAGATCTGATGCGTTATCGCATGTAATGAATGGCCTAGTGAATTTCGCGTTTCTGCGTATTGAGAACACCCACTGCTGGATAGTGTTGAATGTTCCGACGTTTGATGCCGATGTCGTTTCGATATACTAGTTGAGAGCGCTATTCTAACACGAACTAAATAAGGTTATTACGATGCCTTTGCATGAACTGGCTGGACCTTAAGGTAAGACAGTTTTCTGTTATTTATGTTAAACAGTTTGCGCTGACGAAATTTGCGAATAGTCAACTGCAACGTATATCTTGTTTGCGATTGGCTCACATAAAGCTCCAGATCTGAGAATTCTCTAGATCATATAAATTGCTGAAAAGTAATATCTTACTGCATTAGCTGTGTTTTAAGGTACGTTAGTATTCGTCAGCCATGCTAAATAATTTGTGCAGTAGTGAAACTTGCGAATAGTCAACTGCAACATATGTATTGCCTGCGATTGGCTCGCATAAGATCTGGGAACTTTCTCTGGATAGTGCAGATTGTTGAAATATAACACTCTGCAGCAATATTTATACTTATTTAGACTCTAAAGTATGCCAGCAATGGTCATCTGCGCTTAAACTTATGCATTAACGAAATTTGCAAATAGTGAATTGTATTATGTATTTTATTTACGGTTGGTTCGCAAAAGTCCTAGATCTGAGAACTTTCTCTGGACGGTGCAGGTTGTTGGAAAAGAACACTCTGCAGCAATGTCTAGACTTATTCAGATTCTGAGGTATGTCAGCTATTACCATCTGTGTTAAACTTACACACTAATGAAATTTGCGAATAATTAATTGTATCGTGTGGTTGGTTGCGATTGGCTATTATTGACCCTAAATTTGGAAGTCTAATTATGATTGGCTCATCTAAAATACTAGACCTAGATTTGATAATCTTATTGTATCAGTTGAATAGCTAGACGCGACTATGACCGTTTTTCCGTACTATGATGCAACTTACTACTGTAAGGGAGTTTTGTGATATACAAGTATCTATCTTGACCTACGAGACGGCGGAACTATGGATAAATAATCGTCTCCTAATGCGGACCTAGGAACTGTGTAGCTTAAAATTAAAATTACAAATCAAACTATAACATGCTATTATCTAAATGAATCAAAGTCACGAAATAAGAGGATTGTTAATAATAGGTTAAATTGTGCGATAATTAACTAAATAACAAATATGAATGAGGAAGAAATAGAGTTTGAAAACTTACCAGCGCAGGGAAGTTCGGATCTCCCAGGGCTCGGCGTGAGGAGGTCTTTGGTTTTTGGACCCCCATGTCGTCATCAGGAGAAGAGCCACCTAAAGAAGATCACAGTATATTCAAGAAAATTGGATATGGTCTTACGCTGGATTATAAGAAGTTACTGGAGATTCTGCTGAATTTATTAAACGATATTCTTGTACCACTCAAAGACAAAATTCACCATCCGGTGGATATGGTCTTGGACCATATGAATGAGCTCCACCATATGATTAGCAAATTAGATTATGCCAGGAAATATATATTAAATAAGGTGAATGTTCAGGAGGTTCAAATTCGTGAGCTGCATTCCAGACTAGTAGCTCTTCGGGACTTGGCACTATCTGGAGAGGCCTCGGATCATGTTAGATACAAAAAGGATGGTATATCTGAAGAATTCTAGGGAACTCCCTACCCAGATGACCTGAGTATTATTATTGCGGCGTTACGGGATCTGAACTGCGCCCAATCTCTCGATGAACATCAAGAAGATATAGAGGCTAATACCCGTATTCATAGTCCTTCCTTATTTTAAGGACGGAGGAAGCCTCCATGAAGGATTCCTTGAATCTGCAAGGCTACATTGTTTCATAGATGTACCTCGAGTCTCCCTTTCAGAAGAAAGGAATATTTTAGGGATTTTTAGTGACCGACTGGAGGCAGCACCGTTTTATGCTGCCTGCAACTAATTTCATATAATACATATGAAAACTTTTTCGTATCGTTAATCGTGAAGCATTGTTGAATATTTTTGATAAATTAAATCTTAATCAAGTATTGTGGAGTAATGGATAAAGATAAAAATGTTCATTATACGGAGCAAGAGCGAATGCTCTTGGCGCAGCTGATCTGGAAAGAAAAAGTTATCGAAAATAAGAAAACCGGTGCAACAGATCTAAAAGATAAGGCGGATGCATGGGAAAGAATTACAAAAAAGTATGATAGCGAAGGTTGTATGCCTCGCTCCACTAAGCAACTGAAGAAATGCTGGGACAATATGAAGCAAAAGTAAGTAATAATAATCTCGGTGGTAAATAGTAATGATAATTGATAATTAATCAGTTTATTATATATTTTTTTTTTTAGTGTACATACTCCTCCCTACATATGCATATTTCTATATTCGGTTTTTATTAAATATATTTTTATTATTTTATTAATTAATCATTTTAGGAAACGAAAATTAACCACGACGATTCGACACGAGCGGCTTATGACAGGTGGAGGTCCTGCTGCAGTACAGCCAAATGACCCAGTGATGGAGTTCATGGATGCAACAAATGAAAACTTAGATGTGGAAATTGATTGTGCTTTTGACAGCACTGCAGTATTTGAAAAAGAATGTAAGCACCATATATATAATTCTTATTTTTCTTTTATATTATGACAACGATTTTTGACTTTTTAGATAACGTAAAAATGGATCATCGTACATCATCTACAAAAAGAAAATTCATTATTGACGATAAAGATGAGAAGGAAGAGGAGTGTAAGCACCATATACAATACATCATCTACAAAAAGAAAATTCATTATTGACGATAAAGATGAGAAGGAAGAGGAAGATATCAATGATGAAGTTTATATATATGATTAGAGCATTCCTCATTGTAGTAGCATACCATTAGGAAAAAGAACCAGCACTTCAAATATAAAAAACATACAGGTAATGTAAAAGCTTATGAATTAGGTTAATATTAATTATTAATATTATTTAATATGAGTTAGAATTCATTGTCATTTTAATAATATTGTCATTTTAATAACATTGCTGTAAAGATAGATCGTACATTTACAAGGAGAAAATTCATCATTGAAAATAAAGATGAGAAAGAAGAGGAAGATATCAATGATGAAGCTTATATATGTGATCAGAGCATTCCTCATCGTAGCATACCATTAGAAAAAAGAACCACTTCAAATATGAAAAACATACAGATAATCAAAAAGCTTATGAATTAGGTTAATATTAATTATTAATATTACTTAATATGAATTAGAATTCTTTGTCATTTTAATAACATTGCTGTAATAAAACAAATATAAAAAAAATAATACTAATAGTAAAGTAATTGATTTTCAGAACATCCGTGATGAAAAGGATAAAAATTCGAGAAGCAATTGAGCAGCAGCGGGAGCTTCATGCTAAAAAAATGAAGATTGCTGAAGCGGAGGAGAAGATTGTTTTGTTAAAACTTTTAAAGGAGGAAGAGGTGCTAAGACAAATTGCATAGTATTATATTATATATTAGTAACGTAATAATATATGTGATAAAATAATATATATGATAAAATATTAATAATATAATAATGCATATGTTAAAATATCAAAATATATAGTTTTTAAAATATAAAGCTGTTACTTTCTTAATCTTTTAAAACTATCCTATAGATACAGATAAAAGTTATGTTTCTAAATATTTAGTTATTATTCTTATTAGTGAGTATAACGTAAAATGTTATTTATATATATTTACGTATAATAGAAACTATGTTTACTATAAATGATAAAATCTTGTTTCAATTTTGAAATCACTTTAAATGAGGAACATTTTATTTTAGTTTTGTTTAATAAATAAAACACTTTTTAAATTAAAATTAGTTTTTAATCTATATGTACAAATGTAAAAGTTTATGGTCCATACTATAATATATATTATACATACATATGTATATATTTTAATTAGATATTTTATCTTGATTCACATTATTAAAACATGCGCACAACTCATTGTAAATATAAACGAATATAATATAATATAAATATAATTGATTCGCAGCACTGTTTCATGATTATGAAAAATGCCTTAAAATAAAAGCATTTCTATGCGCAAGTCCTATGCCATTTTGTTCTCTATTTACAATATCTTGAAATACATTTTCATTCAACTCGTGATTCAAGTGGTCTTCGACCACTTCGCCTAGATTATGTTGAATGCACACATTGTGCAAAACGGCAGTGGCACAAACAATTGCCACTGATGTGCTCAATTTCGTTCTTAAACCGTAATGCAGGCATGGAAATCGACGTTTCCAAACTCCGAACAATTGTTCAACGATAACTCGTGTTTTCTTGTGTGCAGTATTGTACCGAACTTCTGCATCTGCCTCAGGTCTTAAAACAGGCGTCAGTAGGTAACTGCGACAAGCATACCCACTATCACCAAGTAAAATTCCATCCAAATGTCCCAGCTCGAAACGACAGCGCAGACCGCTTCGATCAAATATTACGGCATCATGAGTTGAACCTGGATGTCTGACAACTATATCAAGAATTTCTCGTTGGGGTCCAGCTACAGCCTATAAAAACAATAAATTATAAAAATTATTAATTTATTATTAAAAATTATTTAATATATGAAATTTGACATGCAAAATAAAACAGTTGAAAAAATATACCTGTACATTAAGAGAAAACCATCCTTTTCGATTCCGGAATATCTCTCCATTATTCCCTCCAGGATTCGCAATGCGTATATGGATGCAATCGATACATCCTATTACAGATGGAAAGTTGGCCACCTCATAAAATTTATTTTTATTAACCCGACGTTTTTGTTCAGTGGAAAAATTAATATATACGCTCAAATGTGATGCTAAAATTCTGGAAACTCGTGCAACAATTCTCGATACTGATGCTTGGCTGTATCCTCGCAAGTCTCCATTAACAATCTGCAATTAAAACAACATACAAATGAAATGAAAATGAATTATCTTTTTATTTACCACAGTGTTAGAATTAAATTTACAAACCTGAAAGCTGCTCGTTGCATAAAAACGCAGTGTTATTAAAAGCTGCATCAACGAAGAAACCGGCAGTCCACGATTATTCAATCGCCTTAAGCGAACATTTACCAAAGAGTAATAAGATCTCAATCACAGCTCCTTTGCTGAATCTGTATCTTTTCCGAAAAGGAATATCTTCAAAAAATTCCACGGGATTTTCCCAATCGCGAATGTATCTTTTCGGAATCCGCCACAGAATCCGATTTTCTGGATTTTCGTCTTCAAATCCATCGTCAGAATCATTCAAAAATTCATTATCCATTATCCCTTTTTTCCTTTATACACTTTCAGTTTGAGAGCGCGACAACAAATAACCACAAAAACACAGATTGAAATGTAACGAAACTAACTTTTGGAGGTTATATTTGGTTATATTCTGCGTATCGTCTGCTAAAAAGGTCGCATCCACTCCTCAAGAAATACCGCAGCAAGGACCGGTTACAGTCTCTATTCGGCGCTAGTCCCAATAAATAGCCAAAGCTGATTGCCGGGCATACCCGCACGGAAACCCGGCAGGACCGGCCTATCTCCTTGCCACGACTGGAACGAATCTTGGCGTCTCCAGCGAAAGCTTGGGACTCCAGAGGTTCTACGATCGGAGGAGCTGATTGGTAACGAGAGTGAGCTTATTAACGGATTTTCGCTCATGATTGACTGTCTATGACCACTGAGGCTATTCAACTGGATTTCTCGAATGATTTCTCGGACGGAATAGGAAACTTGGAACGGGTAGGACGGGCTCGCAGGCGCGGCGAAGCCAGCCGTTCTAGGGAAGGACACCCCGAATAACAAACCAAGACAAAAACGCAATGAATATGACAATGGTAAAAGAAAAAAGTTACCGTTGCAGGAAATTTGGACCTCCAGCGGCAGACGTGCGAGCCCTATGATCCCTGAGGCTTGCCCGTCTTCATCCAGCGTAGGACCCTCTCCAGTGCTGTCGACGGGCATGAAGGATGAAACAATTACCGCCGAAAAGCGTGAGGTGGAGAAAAGAGATCCACTGGACCTGACTGGACCTTCGTGGACTGCTCCGCCTCCCCGGGAGAGGAGATCTAGTTCCGGGAACTAGAGATCAAGAACAAGACTGTTGTGCCTCCCACCACCAGGAGCGCGGGAGCAAAATCTAAAAGGAAGGCAAAGGTCTCACCAGGTACTCCTAGCAATGAGGATAAAGACCGTATAGTCGCAGCCCCAGGGAATGCATCTGTGTCCCGTGGGAAACGAAGGTTGAAGAAGAAGAGAGCCTGCATCCTTCCCGAAAGGTCCTTGTCACCCTCGGGAGGATCATCCTCTGAGAATGTCCACAGAGTCGGACAAAGGATCCGAATCCGAGTCTAGGGAAGGTGAGAAAGTCCCTAGGGACTCAAATAGGTCCAAGGGCTTATATAAAAACGATGTGGTCATTTTATCTGATGATGAGGAAACGGGGAAGGATTTTGCACCCCAGGAGTTATGAATTATGGGTGCTATCAGTGTTGGATCCATTGGCCTTGATTGTCTTGCCAATGTTGAGCGCATGCGCGCCAAAAGTAGAAATCTTCAATGCGGAATAAGTGGGAAAATGAGAAGGGACCTAGACAGAACTAAGGAGGTCATCAATACCCTAATCTACAAGTCTGAGCCGATCGGCGACCCCACCTTTCTTAGATTGAGGAATAGGGACTTAACAGATCAGGTTGAGAAGCTTAAACTAAGGGACGTCTTCAGGGACAGGGAGCTAGAAGAAATGAGGAATATTGTCGAGGATATGAAAAAAGAAATATCCGAACTAAGGGACAAAGCCGATGAAGCTGAAGAGGATCGAAGGAAGGCGAGAGAAAGCCTTAGAATCACCCACTGGAAAATAAATAACGGAGGTATGGAAATCCCTGGAGACGAAGACCTAGAAGGCAGAAATGTCCAAACGGTGGACAAAGAAACCATAACGGAAGATGAATTTACATACTTACCTGTACTGGATGCCGCAAGAGGTAGAAACCCGAGGATGGATGGCTACAAGGCTGGGACTGAAGATCCGGAACCGGTCGCTGCTCTGGAACCTGAAAAAAGAAATGAAATATTAGCTATAAATAAACAAATGAGGGATCTGGTTAGAAGGAGAGCGGAATTGAAGAAACAGGGTAAGGTAGAAGAGAGTGAGACGGGTGGTGAAGCTGAACGGGTTAGGGAGAGACCTCTTCCCCAACGGGCTCCGAGGGCTAGACCAAGGGTCATATCTGACGTCAGAATAGCCCCTCCAATTATATCTAGAAGGGAGCCTAGTGGGGCCGGGGAGACGGACCTTGAGAATAAGAGAGTTACTCGGATCAACAGAGAAAAGGATGGCTGGACAATTGCTGCCAATAGAAGGAAGAGGATGAACCCGGGAAGAATACAAGGCAGAGACAACGTGCCTCCAAGTCCTGGGAAACAGCCAATTAGGAAACTGGATAATACCGGAAATAATAGGAGCACTTGGACTAAACGTAGACCCCCAAAAACCGCTGCGGTGCTAGTTACAAGCTGTAAAGATGATTTCACATATGCTGATGTATTAAAAAAAGCGAGGGAAAACATTTCTTTAAAGGAGTTAAAGATTGTGTCTATCAAGGTTAGATGAGCTGCTAATGGAGGTATTCTGATCGAAGTTCTAGACCCTGACAGCTCTAAGAGAGCTGATGCCCTGGCGGATAAGCTCAAGGACATCCTTCAAGACCAAGCAAAAGTGGTGAGACCCATGGTAAGGGGAAAAATCCGTTTAGTGGGTCTTGATGACTCGGTTTCCGTCGATGAAATTATTTCCGTAGTTGTCGGGGATGGCGCATGCAGGGAGGATTAAGTCAGAACAGGGCCCATTCGGCCCATGAATAATGGTCTGTTCACGTGCTGGGTTCAGTGCCCATTGAGTGCTGCCATTAAACTGGCTAATATGAAGAAAGTGAGGATCAGTTGGACGCTAGCAAGGGTTGATCTGCTAGAAAGCAGACCGATGCAATGTTTTAAGTGTTGGAGATTTGGACACGTGAGGCTTGCATGTCCAACCAACGATGATTTTAGCGGTCTCTGTTTTAAATGTGGCGGAGCTGGACATTTGGCCCGCAACTGTAATCGGCCTCCATCTTGTAAACTATGCGCGTTGGAAGGAAAAGGTCCCAACCATAGATTGGGATCAAATTTTTGCACTGCAGAATACAGGTTAATAAGATCAGAACCAATTTTAGATCGGCAATCACCACGAAACCTAACGGGACCAAAGTAAGTTCCCCTATGGACACGAATGCGGATTAAGGTCATACAAGCGAATGTAAACAGGAGTAAGCCCTCCCTAGATTTCCTAGTGAATCAATCTAGGGAACTGGGCTCTGGGATCCGAATCAAACTATATCCCGGATTCGGATAACTGGTTTGCGAGTGAGGATGGACATGCGGCTATATTCGTGGATCCTACTTATACTAGGATGAGGAGTGGTTTAGCAAAAAATGGCTCCCGGTTTGTGGCAATCCACAGTGGACCAAATATCATTATTTCCATATATGTGTCTCCTAGATTAAGTCTCCAAGAATTTAATAGTATTCTTGATGAGCTCACGGCGGTATTATCTCACCGAACGAACAAAATTATTATAGGCGGATATTTCAACGCAAAAGCTAGCCTTTGGAATGCGAGATCTACAGATAGTAGGGGTCTCCTTTTAACTAGATGGGCCGCGGAGAGAGACTTGCGAATCCTGAATACAGGCAACATCCCAACCTGCGTACGCCCTCAGGGGAGCTCTGTAATCGATTTTACCTGGACATCTTCAGACCTGCTCCAACCGGTTAGAAAGTGGCGAGTCAGGGAGGACCTGGAATCCCTATCTGACCACTTATACATCGAGTTCGATATCCATACGGATAGACCGGAAGCACCATTGAACAGAACCCTCCCACGCAAATGGAGCGGCAAGAAAATAGATGACGATCTTTTTTTAGCTGTAATGGTCTGGAAAGGAGAAGGACCTAAACTGGAAGATCAAGAAGATGTGAGCAAGATGACTACCTGGCTGGATCAGACTATGGAGGAGGCTTGTGATGCAGCGTCCTCAAGAGTTGGACTTGGTGGACCTCGTCGACAGTCTGTTGCCGAGCTTCGCTGGAACTGCATTCGTGCCAGTCTTTGGCAGAGAGCCAAAAAGAGGAAGCGACCGCATGAAATAGTTGTTGAGTTAAGTCTAGATTATAAAACTAAGCGTAAAAAGTTACGTGTCGAGATTTATCGGCTTAAATCGTTGGCTTGGCAAGAACTTGATTCAATCAACCGGGATCCATTGGGTCTGCCATATAAGATTGTTTTTAAGAAATTAAAAGCTGCGTCTCCCGGTATCACCGAGTGGGAGAGGCTAACTTGCGCACAGTACAATTGGACACGTTGCAATTGCACACTGTGATATTAGACACATAAAGTTGCGTTATTTGATAAATAAACGTTTGTTACAGTTCGTTTGCACACAGTTCTTTTGCGCACAGTTTTTTTGCGCACATTTCTTTTGCGCACATTTTTTTGCGCACATTTCTTTTGTCCACATTTCTTTTGCCCACATTTCTTGTTAGAAGGAGGAATTGTAAAACACTCACAATCGCCATATAACACGCCCATATGGATTGTACCTAAGAAAAAAGACTCCAAAGGAAATAAACGATGGAGAATGGTATTAGATTTTCGCGCTTTAAATGATAAAACTATCGGAGATGCATATCCTTTACCAAATATCATTGATATATCAGACCAATTAGGAGGAGCTCGATATTTTTCAGTATGCGATTCAGCATCTGGATTTCATCAAATAAAAATGAACCGCAAAGACGGTCATAAAACAGCTTTTACTACTCCTTTTGGACACTACGAATTTGATCGAATGCCGTTCGGTCTAAAAAATGCTCCGGCTATTTTCCAGCGCCTAATGGACTTAGTGTTAACTGGGTTACAAGGCAAGGCATTATTTGTTTATATGGACGATATCGTTATCTACGCAACCTCGTTAGAAGAACACGACAGAAAATACAACGCTTTAATGGAATGTCTCCGAGAAGCTAACTTAAAACTACAACCAGATAAATGTAAATTTTTGAAAAGAGAAGTAACTTATCTGGGACATGTAATCAGTAAAGATGGAGTAAAACCAGATCCAAAAAAATTAGAAGCAGTACAACGGTTTCCAAGACCTAAAACACCTAAAAACATTAAACAATTTTTAGGACTTGCAGGATATTACAGACGCTTTATACCGAATTTTTCAAAATTCGCCATACCATTAACAAATTTATTAAAAAACGACACCCGCTTCGATTGGACATCCGTGCAGGAAGAATCTTTTGAAATTTTAAGACAAAAACTGTGCGAAGAGCCAGTACTGCAATACCCAGATTTTTCCAAACCACTTATTTTAACGACCGATACATCTGGAATAGCCGTTGGAGGAATATTATCACAAGGAGAGATAAATAAAGACCTACCGATAGCATACGCCTCACGAACCTTAACAGATAATGAATTAAAATACGATACATATGAAAAAGAAGCGCTGGCTATTGCATATTGCGTTAAACATTTTCGACCATACTTATACGGAAGAAAACTCACTTTAGTTACAGATCATAAACTTTTGATGTGGTTTAAAAACGCACAAGACGCAAATATGCGAATACTTCGTTGGAGATTAAAATTAGCAGAATATGATTATGAGGTTGTATACAAAGCGGGAAAAACAAACGTAAACGCAGATGGATTATCAAGAAATCCTGTAATTATCGGAGAAATAGATTGTAAAATTATAAAAAACAAGAAACTTTTAAACCCAGATAACCCTAAAGATGCACAATTAATTGCTGAATTACTAGAAAAATCCGATAGCGAAGAAGAAGAAGAAGGAGATGACGATTTCAATTTATATCTTTCCGATATGGAAGAAAACGAAGAAATAATAGCTGAAAGCGATTTATTAAATAACAATAACGATACTCTTCCATTTACACAAACAGAATTAAACGAACCAGATTATTTATCAATTACCGAAAAAGCTTTAATACACGATCCTCCAAAACAAAATAAAATTCAAACAAGAAGCCGAACTGCAAGACAAAGTATTGAGCAAAATAAAATAATCAACGAATTGCATAGTGACGAGGGAGAGATCGAAGAAATCGAAGAAAGAAATGATCCGCCTGATAAAATCTCTGACAGTGAAAAAGAAGACGAAGAAGAAAACGAACAAAATATTATTAACAAAAATTTAAAATCAAGAAAAACGAAATCTGCATTTATTCAAATATGCGAATACTTCGTTGGAGATTAAAATTAGCAGAATATGATTATGAGGTTGTATACAAAGCGGGAAAAACAAACGTAAACGCAGATGCATTATCGAGAAATCCTGTAAATATCGAAGAAATAGATTGTAAAATTATAAAAAACAAGAAACTTTTAAACCCAGATAACCCTAAAGATGCACGATTAGTTGCCGAACTATTAGAAAAATCCGATAGCGAAGAAGAAGAAGAAGAAGATGACGATTTCCATTTATATTTTTCCGATATGGAAGAAAACGAAGAAATAATAGCTGAAAGCGATTTATTAAATAACAATAACGATACTCTTCCATTTACACAAACAGAATTAAACGAACCAGATTATTTATCAATTACCGAAAAAGCTTTAATACACGATCCTCCTAAACAAAATAAAATTCAAACGAGAAGCCGAACTGCAAGGCAAAGTATTGAGCAAAATAAAATAACCGACGAATTGCGTAACGACGGAGGAGAGATTGAAGAAAGAAACGATCCGCCTGATAAAGATTCTGACAGTGAAAAGGAAGACGAAGAAGAAAATGAGGAAGATATTATTAACCAAAATTTAAAGTCGAGAAAAAGGAAACCCGCGTTTATTGAAAATAAAATAATTCATGGTAACGTCATAGACTCTAGAGAACTATTATTTTTACGAAAAGATAACATGGTATATTTCGTCGACACCCAGGGAAAACCTTTAGATTCAGGCTCACATGCAACGTCTTTAGAAGAACACGAAAGAAAATACAACGCTTTAATGGAACGTCTTCGAGAAGCTAATTTAAAATTACAGCCAGACAAATGCGAATTTTTAAAAACGGAAGTAACTTATCTGGGACACGTAATCAGTAAAGACGGAGTAAAACCAGATCCGAAAAAATTAGAAGCGGTACAACGATTTCCAAGACCTAAAACACCTAAGAATATTAAACAATTTTTAGGACTTGCAGGATATTACAGACGCTTTATACCGAATTTTTCAAAATTCGCCATACCATTAACAAATTTATTAAAAAACGACACCCGCTTCGAGTGGACATCTGTGCAAGAAGAATCTTTTGAAATTTTAAAACAAAAACTATGCGAAGAACCAATACTGCAATACCCAGATTTTTCTAAACCATTCATTTTAACGACCGATGCATCTGGAATAGCCGTCGGAGGAATATTATCACAAGGAGAGATTAATAAAGACCTACCGATAGCATACGCTTCACGAACCTTAACAGATAATGAATTAAAATACGATACATACGAAAAAGAAGCACTAGCTATTGTATATTGCGTTAAACATTTTCGACCATACTTATACGGAAGAAAATTCACTTTAGTTACAGATCATAAACCATTGATGTGGTTTAAAAACGCACAAGACGCAAATATGCGAATACTTCGTTGGAGATTAAAATTAGCAGAATATGATTATGAGGTTGTATACAAAGCGGGAAAAACAAACGTAAACGCAGACGCATTATCCAGAAATCCTGTAAATATCGAAGAAATAGATTGTAAAATTATAAAAAACAAGAAACTTTTAAACCCAGATAACCCTAAAGATGCACGATTAATTGCCGAACTATTAGAAAAATCCGATAGCGAAGAAGAAGAAGAAGAAGATGACGATTTCCATTTATATTTTTCCGATATGGAAGAAAACGAAGAAATAATAGCTGAAAGCGATTTATTAAATACCAATAACGATACTCTTCCATTTACACAAACAGAATTAAACGAACCAGATTATTTATCAATTACCGAAAAAGCTTTAATACACGATCCTCCTAAACAAAATAAAATTCAAACAAGAAGCCGAACTGCAAGACAAATTGAGCAAAATAAAATAACCAACGAATTGCATAGTGACGAGGGAGAGATCGAAGAAATCGAAGAAAGAAATGATCCGCCTGATAAAATTTCTGACAGTGAAAAAGAAGACGAAGAAGAAAACGAACAAAATATTATTAACAAAAATTTAAAATCAAGAAAAACGAAACCTGCATTTATTGAAAATAGAATAACTCATGGTAATGTCATAGACTCTCGAGAATTATTATTTTTACGAAAAGATAATATAGTGTATTTCGTCGACACCCAGGGAAGACCTTTAGATTCAGGCTCACAAAAACTTTTCGAACGAAAAGAGCTTCCAAACCTAGGATTTCTTGTCTTAGGAAAGGCTAAGGCCATAAAACATAAAAATCATTATCATGTGGCTTTACCCATCAGCGAGGGACAGCGAGAAGGCCCTACGGCTACCCTTAACCAAATTATTAAAATTTTAGCAGATTTACAAAATATGACTGAAGATTTAAAATTAGAAACATTTAGTATTGCAAAAACCGTATTTATTAATAACGTTCCATGGAATGATATCAAGGTACATTTACAATCAATATTCACCGACGCTCCCACTAAAATTATTATTTGTCACGGACTAATTAAATACCCACCAAAAGATTTATGTTCCGTTATAATCAGTGAAATGCATTGTTTACCAACGGGAGGACACCGGGGAGTCACAAAATACGAGTTAAAACAAAACAACCTATGATAATTACAGACACACCAGGATCTTCTTTCGATAAAGTAACCATGGATATCGTAGGCCCTTTGCCTAAAACCGAGAGAGGAAACGAATATATTTTAACATTACAAGATCAATTAACTAAATTTTGCATGGAAATACCATTACCGAATCAAACTTCCGAAACCATTGCAGAAGCTTTTGTAGATCAATTTATTTGCGTACTTGGAACACCAAAAGCAATATTAACTGATCAAGGAAGGAATTTCCTTAGCGACTTAATAAAGAAAATAGCAAAATTATTTTAAATTCGCAAATTTCGCACAACAGCTTTTCATCCTCAATCAAACGGATCATTAGAGAGATCACACCATGCATTAGGCGAATATTTGAAACAATATGCAAATGAACAAAAACAATGGGATAGATGGATCAGCCTTGCCATGTTTAATTATAATACGAGCGTACATGAAGCAACAAAGCACACTCCATATGAATTGGTTTTTGGAAAGATAACACGTGTTCCATCGAACGAACTTTTACCTCCTGGGGATAAATTAGCAAATTACGATGAGTATTTAATAAATCTTGTCACTCAACTTCACGCAATTCAGGGAAACGCACGCGATAATGTCATTCAGGCGAAAATTAGATCAAAAAATTATTACGATAGAAAAATCAACCCGCAAACTTTTAAACCGGGAGATCAAGTATTTTTATTAAAAGGTCCAAAATCAGGTAAATTCGGAGATCAATATACTGGGCCACACGAAGTTCTAGAAATTTTTAATAAAAATAATGTAAAAATAAGAATAAAGAAAAATAGCCGAATTGTACATCCTAACCGCTTACGAATTTCATATATCAAACCTACCGACAAGGAATAATTATCAAAGAAATAATTATGTAAACTTTCAGATGGACCCTTTAAACCGGGAGATCAAGTATTTTTATTAAAAGGTCCAAAACCAGGTAAATTCGGAGATCAATATACTGGGCCTCACGAAGTTCTAGAAATTTTTAATAAAAATAACGTTAAAATTAGAATAAAGAAAAATAGCCGAATTGTACATCCTAACCGCTTACGAATTTCATATATTAAACCTACTAATAAACAATTATGAGAATTTTCAGATGGACTTCAGAATTGGAAGACAAATCACAAAAAAATAATAATAATTGAAATTTTATCAAACAGGGTAATAGGAACAGACTTAACTTAGCAGTCACAGTAAATATATTCCCAATCGTGTAAAATAAGAGAGAACATAAACGAATGCGCCATATTGTATCACTTACTTGTTAGATTAATTAATATACTAAAAACGTATATATATATACTAAAAACAGAACTATCTTTTCCGACAAAAAAAGGTTTTATTTATATAAAGAAATATTACCTGATCATCTGAAAAAAAGGGGAGAAACAATGAGCTAGAAAAATATCACAGAGGAATTATATCATCGGCTCCAGCAACCAATAGGCGATCACTATGCTACATTTAGTGATAAACTATCCAGCTTATTATTCTGCAGACAAACATGGTATTTCAACCAACAGCTAATTAAAGGAACAAGGAGAACTATTCCAGCATTTGTCAATTGACAAATCATCTTGGCGCTCTACATCCATCAGCGAATACATGGAATAATAATGCGAAGCCCATGTGACAAAGAAGAAATTAAATTAAAAGTAATTTTAATGCAATCTCAAACAGTTATTGTGAGAAAAGTTCTTGTTATTACGAGAAAATTTAAAAGAATAGGTAAAAAAAAGGAATATATATATATATATTTTTGTAAAAGGAGGACGAAAGAAAAAAATCCCTACTTTTGCATAATTTCAATTCGTTAAAGTTTTTTGAAAGATCCCACTTTTAAAATTAGAAGACGCCCTCAAAAAGATTTTATAAAAGAAAGAACTTGTCAGACTAGAGCATTCAATTGATTCATTCAGTCATTTCTGTCAACTTCAATCAGTGTCGGGCAATTAGTCTCGTGTGCGCGCATTAAGAGCAAAAATTCATAATTAGAAAAAGGAGTGACCAGTTCAATATCAGTGTCCTCGTCTTGGCGTCGTCTCCAGCGCAACCGGGCACCCGCACAGCGTTACATCTTAGCGAAGGACGACAAGTTCTGTCAATCTACTCTACCTACCAATTAAAAGTCAGCAACGAAAGTAAGTCTCTAATAATTCAGTTCAATTATATCTTTATTCCCGCAATAAATAACGTTGTTACCGGTTCCATAGTGAGAACCAGGTCGGGAAAAGATTACGAATTTCAACCCGCTACCGCAAAGGTCCGTTCCGCGAGTCAGAAGACGCGAACTTCTGTAAACTTAAAATCAATCATAGCTAGTAGTAGTAGTAGTAGTAATTATTCAAACACCGCATACACAGAAACAATCATTGACTTTCCCCCTAGTTACTCCCCAATATATCTTTCAGAACCACCTTCTTCCGAACTGTCGCTTTCCCCCCGATCGTTCTCCTCGTTGTCAACGATCATCCTAGATGATTCACCCCCTCCTTCTCCTCCTTCTCCTTCTTCAGAATTAGACGAATTCAAAAAGGCAGTGCAGGATTTCTGCAATTCCTTCCTGATTTGGAGGACGAATCCTGCTATCAATCTCCAATCCCTCCTTTTTCCCCTCTTGAATCCGACGAATTCGAGAGAACACTGGAAGAGTTCTGCAATAAACTCCCAGATCTCGATGACGAATCCTTATACCAATCCTAGAATTATGAAATCAACCTTCTAATATTCCTACACACTCTCACTCACACAAATTGTTTTATTTTCTTTTTCTAACAGATATTTTGTAAGAAGCGAATGGAGTGTCGTTGGGATGGGCAGGTGCCTGGGTGGGGTGGGTTGGGTAGGGAGGGGGGATGGGGAGCGGAGAATTTATTTGGTCTGATTACGGTGGTAGTCACGTCAGGGCTGTTGGGATACCGGGTGTCAGATGCAAATAGGTCTCTGGTATCTTGACTCGCGGTCCAGTTAATATCGCATTGAAGAGGGTGTTTTTAACGGGCGAGAGTCCCGCACACGCCCCGGGACCGGTCCCGGGATACGGTGCATAATGCATTCTCCTCCCATCGTAAAACAAAAAAAAAGTTTAAGTTATCCGACGGGAAGAGAGATGCGTTGGAGAGAGAAACGCGACATCAATGATGTGTTCGAGAAGAAGGCGCGATACTCGATGATTAGTTCAAGAAAGCGTCTTTCCTATCGCTTTTTATTTATATTTGTTTATTCGCGATACACCAATGAGTCGTTCGAGGAAAAACGTGATTCTTTCCAAAAAAGCGACCTTATCGCTTTCTATTTTTATATGTTTATTCCCGATGAACTGATGATTTATTCGACGCGCAATACTCGATGGTTCGTCGAGTGTTGCGCGTCTCTTCCATTGCTTTTTATTTTTATTTGTTTATGCGCGATACATTGATGACTCATTCGATGAAAGCGCGATTCTCGATGATTCGTTCGAGAAAACACGAAGAAAATGCTGCGATCGACAAAATCATATCGCCATCCGTTTATAGGAGCCCGAGATCGCTCCGAGAAACAGAGAAAATGCTGCGATCGACAAAATCATATCGCCATCTGTTTATAGAAGGAGCGCGGGATCGCCCCGAAAAAGTTTCCATGAGAGCGAAATGAGCATTAACCACTCATAAAAGGAGCGCGAGATCGCTGCGAAGAACAAAGTATCGTTGAAAACGCGATGGATCTTATAAATCAGATCATTGACGTGGCTGACTATGTCACGATGACAGCCGATGAAATAGAGAGAAAAGCTGCGACAGTATCGTTGATGGCTGCCGATTTGCGAACCGAAGCCTGTGGCGTGATAAGCCATAGCCCAAATTTGTTTCGCGTCGATTTCGAGATAGATGGAGACGTCGAAAAATTGTTGTAAGTATTTGCACACTATTAATGACGATGATGCGATTGATTCATATTTTATATTTTAATATTTTTTAGAAAACGAATATCAACCGGTGTGAGAGTCACGCGTCACGCTTTGGCCGAGCTTTCCGCTCGAACCAAGGTTTTACACTCGCAAGCGCGGGATGTTCATCGGGCGTTGCGCGAAATGTGGGAGATAAAAGATAACGAAATTAATGAACGGGAGCTGTAGACCGAATTCCCGTCAACGGTCGAGCTCCCGCCGCCGCCAACTAATATAAATAATTGTGAGTATTTTCTTTATACGTATATTTATAATTCTTCTTTGTATATTTAGTTCGCTAATAATAGTCGTTTTTGCTTCAGAAGAAGGTACATGCAGATTTGCATATTTACATATACATATATTTATACACATATCTATACTTACATGTAGATACATATAGATACATATATTTATACACATATCTATACTTATACATAGATATTTCTATATACATGTTGTATACACATACTTATGTAACTTGTATACTTATATTTACTTAATAAATACAAATATATTAAATATTAATCATTTTTATTTATCACCTTCGCGAACGTTACACTTTTTTCACTATATCGTCGCGCTGTATCTCGCACTATTCTTTCTTATCGTACACACCTTGCGCTATCCTTCTCTCGCGATCGCGTGTATCGGTTCGCCCGTTTCGCTATCCATTTCCAGCCATTCCATGTTGCTCGAAATGTCCCGGTTCGTCCCTTTGTCGACGGCGTCGCATTCGCAAGCCCGCGCAGCGTCTTCCCGTAAGTTCGCGAGGTCTCGTCTCGTCCGCCCTTCGCATCCGTCGTATGGCTCGAGATCGAACTATTTTTTCAAGCAGAAAATGTCCCGGCGCGTCCCTTCGTTGGCGGTGTCGTATTCGCGAACCCACGCGCTGTTTCTCCATAAGTCGGCGAGATTCTCTCTCGCGTTCCGCCGCACCCATCGTATTCAGCGCCGGTGTTCGATGTTTACAAATCCGTCAATACGAATATTGCTCTCGAACATTGCATATTTGTTCTATAAATATTATGTAAAAACTATTATGAAAAAAGTATTATGCGAAA